CAGCAGTGTGGTAGAGAGGAGCCATCTTCAGACATGGATCTGGCTAGATGGCCCCTGAGGTCTCCTCCGGTTTTGAGATTCTGTGTGATTGTGAATAGACAAGGTGAAGCATGTCAAGAAGGAGAATGACCAGATGGGTGAGGGGACTAGAGGTGGCTCCCTTAACCTCAGTGCCTAGAACAGTGCCTGGTGCACAGGAGGCACTTAATAAATGCTTGTTGATTGTCATAGGAAGATTGGTTGAGGGAACTTTGGGTGTTTAGCCTGGAGAGGAGATAGATGGGATATGATGCTGTCTTCAAATAGGAAGAGGGCCTACATCTTGGCCACAGAAGGAAGCAGAGCTAGGAACAGTGCGTGGAGCCTGTAGAGAAGCACGTTTCAGCTCAATGGAATGAAAACTTCCAACAATTAGAAATACATGAAAGTAGAATGAGCTCGATACCTATCATGTCCTCCCTAAGTTTTACCTGCTCTTGGATAAAAATCCCATTTTTTCCCCCACTTGATCTCCCAAAGGCATTAATTCCACTCCTCCTACTTTTTTTTTGATAAGGCAATTGGGGTTAAGTGACTTGCCCAGAGTCACACAGCTAGTGAGTGTTATGTGTCTGAGGTCGGATTTGAACTCAGGTCCTCCTGACTCCAGTGCTGGTGTTCTATCCACTGTGCCACCTAGTTGCCCCTACTCCGCCTACTTTCCTGGTCACCTTTCTCTCTGCTTTCGGTTAGAGAAAGTATAGATCTCTGAGGTAGTTTGGGCTCACAAGAGGGAGATTTTTCTTGACAGGAAATATGAGGTTAAGATCCTGCTTCTGATACTTAAGAGTGGTGTGACTCTTGGTCCTTAATTTCCCTAGGCCTCTAAGCTTATAAAATATATAGATCAGAATTGGTGTCTGTGGAGGGATTTCTGGGATTTGTCATACTCACGCATCCTTAAGGCATTAATTAATGCATTAAACTTTGGTAGCCTCTGTTGTTCACGGTGGAGCCCAATACTCTTGCTAGACAAGTCAAATTTAGGACACTCAAAAGAAACTCCAGATGGGAGAACAGGCTACAGCTGTAATTATGGAGCAGCCTTCAAGACTGACCCTGGTCTGTCTCTCAGTGCAGAGAGGTCTAGTAGCCCCGTCTGGCTTATACGTGATTCTGAACGAACGGCTTCATCTTCTTACTGAGAGGGGTGAAAAAGGGACCCAGAAAGTACTGAGCGCTCTTGTGAAAAACAGAAACAATGCAAAAAAGCTTCATTAACTTGGAGTTTTCAATAATTTGGACATGCCAGGCTCATGCTAGGCTCTTTAATTTGCTGTCAGTGGAGGGAGAGAGGCCAACTAAAATTAATCCCCATTTGCTACCTGTGTGATCTTGGATAAGTCACTTAATCTCTCTTTGCCTAAGATGAGGGGGCTAGACCTGGTGGTCTTTGAGGTCCTTCCTAGCTCGAGATCTTTGACCATAGGTCACTTAACTCCCCTGGGCCTCATTTCCTTTCTGTAAAATAAGAGGGTTGGAGTGGATGTCTTCTGAGGAACTTTCCCTCTCTAGATCATGATCCTGTAAGTCATGCTAGCCTACCTGGCCCTCAGCTTCCTCATATGTAAAAAGAAGGAGATGAATTAAATGATCTTTGCAGCACCTTTAGGAATCGTAACAGATATCCCCACTCTTGTTTGCAGATATCCCTTCATCATCGTCAGCCTTTCCATGAAACAATGTGCTCATTGCACGCCACTCATCCTTCAGCCCTTCCCTGAGCATGTCCTGTGTGTGAGGCACTTTCCCCCTCTCCTATGCCAGAGACAGTCCCTGTCATCAAGGAGTATGGTTGGAAACAACACACAGACACATAAAAGACAAATAACAATGATGGAAAGACAAGCCGTATTCCAAGATTACATTTAGAGACAATAGGCTGAGGCTTGGCATGCATTTATTCATAGAAAAAATGTTTCGAACCATACCATCCCGAGTTGGAAGGAAGCTTAGCGCCATCCTTTCCCCTTGTGTGACAGAATTGGAATCTGAGGCTGAGATGAGTGGCTATGGGAATGTCACGTGGTCTCTCTGAGCTCCAATCTGGAGTCAGCCTGATTGTGCAGAGAACAGAAACGCCAGACTTGTAAGCAGAAGATCTTGATTCAGATTTTGACTCTGATGCTAGCTGTGTGACCTTGGCTAAGCTGATTTTTCTTCTTCAGACTCAGTTGTCTCCTTTACAAGGTGAGGAGCTTGTATCTAAGACCAAACATCATTCCCTAATAGATAAGTGATCAAGGATATGAACAGTTTTCAAAAGATTTGCTTATTCCCGACAACCATATGAAAAACTTTTAAATACTAATAATAGGAGAAATTCAAATTAGATCAGCTCTGAGATTTTAACTCCTGGCTATTTGATTGGAAATACCCACACATGCATATATACATATGCATATACATATATATGTATATACACATACACACATACATATCTGTGGACAATTAATTTAACGGATAGAAGGAATTTATAATGAAGCAACTTCTGCTCCCAATGCAGGTGGGCACCTCCACTGCAATTTATAGTCTTAGATTATTGCTTAGGGCAGTTAGAGAATTTAAGTCCCTTGCCTTGCATTGTGCATGGTGTTGGAGGGGTGACTTGAACCCAGGCCTATCTGGACTCTAAAGTTGTCCCACTGTCTACCATGTCATGTTTCCTCTCAGAGATGATCAAATATGAAAACAGTCAATGTTGGAGAGGTTTGGGAAGACAGGCACACTAATACACTATTAGGGCTGTGAGTTTGTCTAACCCATTTGGAAAACAATTTGGAACTCTGAGAAAAGTGACTGTTCATATCCTGTGATCCTACAACTGGGCATAAATATATGTATATATGTACATACACATACACACATATATATATAAAACATTAGGGCAGGGGTGGGGTAGGTTCAGAGACAAAAAGACCCCATAGATGTCAAAATATTCATAGGAGTTCTTTTTTGTGGGAGCAAAAAGCTAGAAACAAAGTGAGTCCCATTAATTGTGGAATGGCTGAGCAAATTTTGATATATAGACATAATGGAATACTATTTTATTATTAAAAATGATGAACATGAGGAATTCAGAAAAACTTAAGAAGATTTATATGAACTGATGCAGAACAAAGTAAGCAGAAACCCAGAGAGCAATATATGCAATATCTATAATAATGTACAGGAAAAACCAGTAAAGTAAACCTGAATTCTGAATAATGATCAAACTTACTACCAAGGAATAGATAATGAAACATATCTCCTTCCTACGAGCAAAGAGGTGGAGGACTGTGGGTGCAGAGCGTTATGTATATCTCCAGTTTAGGTCACTATATTGTTTGCATTTGTTTAATTTTTTTTTTTTGTTCTACGAGAAGATTTAGTGATGGGAGGGGAGTGAGACAAAGACAGAAATGATTTTGATATGAGAAGAAAAGGCAGCAATAAAACAAACAAGAGAAAATAAGCTTCTGCCAGATAATCTTTGAAGTCTCCTCTGGCTCTCAACCCTATAATGATTTGTCCAAAGGTGCATGGAGATCAAGTATCAGAACAAGATTTAAGGCCAGGTCCTCAGATACCTACACCAGTGTTGCACCAGCCTGCTTCTCTTGGAGCAGCTGTCCTCCTAAAGGTTTACAAACTACTTTTCATTTATTATCTCGTTTAATCCTCACAACTCTGTGGGATAAGTTCGATTGGATTGTTATCCCCATCTTATAGCTGAAGGAAAAGGCAGACAGAGGTTAAGTGACTTGCCCAGGGTCACACAGCTCCTAAGTGTCTGAGGAAGTACACAAACCCAGGTCTTTCAGATTCCAAGCCCAGCACTCTATCTACGACACCCTAACTTTTATTTTTTTTTATTATGAATTGACCATCATTAAGAATCACAAACATTTCAAAACATGAAGAAGAATGGAATGAACAACTGGACAAATACATCTACAGATTGTGACACGTTACTTGTATGATCTTGGGTATAGACATATGTAAAAACACACGTACATGTATATGTATGTGTGTATATACACACAAATTATACACATACATATATACATGTGTGTGTTTGTGTGTGTGTGTGTGCACGCACGCACATGTGTGTCTAATCAAAAATATCATCCAAATTGATCCCGTCTTACTCACTGGGCTTGGCTTTGAATGACGCTTGCCTGTTTCTAAAAAATAAAGTCTCACCAGAGGAATTAAGTAAGAGCCAGAATGTTTTTCTTCCTTTTAAAAACTGCCTTGACTTGGCTGTTGCCCAGATGGAACCCTCCCAGAGGGCAATGGGGCATGTGCTTGGGAGCCTAGATGGAATATGCATTTTTTTTCTTCTTCCTTAAGGGAGAGGAAGGAGCACCAGTCCGTTAACCTGAGCCCTTGGAAACTATATTCAGTGCCCAGGCATAGCGGGGTAGAGGGAGACTGCTAGAAACAGGAGCCCGCCTTGCTGATGCCTCAAAGTGTCTCCTCTTCACTGGACCCTTGGCATTCTGAGCTTCCAGACATCCAATGAAAGCTTGAAGGTTACCCCCCACCCCCAATTTCCCAGGACCACCCTCATCTCACACCTCATAGACATCCCACACCAGCCAAAGCCTCCTGCTTTCTCTTTCCCAAATAGCTCATTATAACCTTCCTGAGCTTCACTTCCCTTATCGGTGAAATGAGGGAGTTGGCCTGAAAGGAGCTCTAAATTTATGATGCTATGTTACTAGGTGGTGCAGTGGAGAGACAAAATCTCATTGGAATCAGAGGACCTGAGTTCAAATTCTGCCTCAAACACTTACTAGTTGCGTGACTCTGGGCAAGTCACTTGACTTCGCTTAGCCTTAATTTTCTCATCTGTAAAATGGGTGGGTTAGTTTCAGTGGCCCCCTAATGCCCTTCCGACTCTCAATTGATGATCTTAGGATAATTACGAATACTACTACTTCTGACTACCATTTATGTGCTGCTTTTAGGTTTTGAAAGTGTTGTGTACTCACTGAATCCTCTCGATATTCCTTGGAGGTAGATGCTTTTATGATTCCCAGAAGGCAGAACTAGGAACAAAGGATGGAAGGGGCAGAGGAGCAGTTTTTGGCTTGGTGGAGGACCCACTTTCCAACACAGTAAGTGTTGTCTAAAAGTAGAAATGACTGCTTTGGAAGGGAGTAGATCCCCAGTCCTTGGAGGTCTTCAAGCAGTGCCTGAATGGCCACTTGTCAGCAGTGTGGTAGAGAGGAGCCATCTTCAGACATGGATCTGGCTAGATGGCCCCTGAGGTCTCCTCCGGTTTTGAGATTCTGTGTGATTGTGAATAGACAAGGTGAAGCATGTCAAGAAGGAGAATGACCAGATGGGTGAGGGGACTAGAGGTGGCTCCCTTAACCTCAGTGCCTCAGGAGGAGGAAACACATCACAGTCAGCTGGAGATGTTAGTGGGACATCCAGAGGGATATGCATTATAGACATTTGGAACTGAAAGTTTAGAGTTTAGAAGAGTGGCCCAGGCTAGAAATATAGATTGGAGAGTCATCAACATAGAGGAGGCTATGGGAGTGAATGAGATTGCCAAGGAATAGAATGTAGAGAGGAGAAAAGGATGAAAGAAAGGTCCCTGGGGAATACTCACGTGAAGGGATATAGTTCAGATATGTATAATGAATTATGTGTTTGTATAATAAGATTAATAATTAATAATACATATGTACGATATATTAAATTCTTACCATGCATCAGGCACTGTGCTACATGCAGAGGATACAAATACAACTGTGTGTAACAGAATTTTTTTTTTTTTGTGAGGCCATGGGGATTAACTGACTTGCCCAGAGTCACACAAAGCTAGTGAGTGTTATGTGTCTGAAGCGGGATTTGAACTCAGGTCCTTCTGACTCCAGGGCTGGTGCTCTATCCACTGCACCACCTAGCTGCCCCCCTGATAGCAAAATTTTTGGTTTAACTTTCTTACTGTCATTTACTTACGATGAGCAGGTCACCTGCTGAATTAAGCTGAGACATCAAGCCACAGCCCCGTGTTAATGATTAGTTTGCAGATTCCAGCTATAACCCTGGTGTTTACTGACTGGTTTACAGTTTTACCTGATATAGACCCTCCCCTTCGGCTGTCTGTCCTTTGATGTGTAAATGATTACTTTCTCCTTCTGCCTGCTATAAAATTCCATTGTGCACGTCCTGACTATGTGACTAAAACCTATATAATGTTGCTGAAGCTGTTAGTCATGGCTCACTGATTTCTGTATACAGTGAATCTATGCTCTGAGCATATAATATATCTGGTTTTTTTCCTGTATTTCTGCATCCGTTGATGGTTATGATCGGTGGCATTTTCTATCAATGGCTCCTTGGACAATTTCTGTCACATGAGTCAGCATAAGAATCCTCGCTCAAAGGGAGCTTACATTCTAATGGGGGAACACGGCGCATAAAGGGCAACTAGGAAGAGAAGGTTTGGAAATGGCAAGAAACTGGCATAGTGAAGGCAAAAACTCACCTGTCAGAACCCAGGGTCCCAGAGGCAGCGTCCAGGTTCTGTTGGAATAGGATGAGGAGTAATGACCAGAGTGTAGGTAGCAGGGTTTGGAAATGGCCAGGAAGTACACAAAGAGAGAACAGAACAACATTCAACAAGTGCAAACTGGGTATATAAAATTCATTCATTCAATGTGCATTTATTAAGTGCCTACTGTGTGCCGGGCCCTGTGGAAGGTGCTGACTAGAAGCAATGCTGGGCTTTGAGTTGGGCGTGGGGTGGGGGGGAGGAGAATCACAGAGGGGTCTTTGGATGCTTCAAGTGCTCAGGGAAGAATGCTGGGAGAACTTGGCCTCCTGGAGAAGCCCAGGTGCTGTTTGAGTGGGCCGGTGACTCAGCCTCCAGCTGCGACCAGCCTCGCTGCTCCTTTGATGATTGTCATCTTTTGGACAAGCTGAAGAACTGAAGACTCAGCCCCGGGGTGGGGTGGGGGGGGCATGACGCATCCCTTGGCATTTCCCTCTAATCCGGGGCTGAGTCACTCCCGACGGCTCCGGTGCCAGAGGGGCTGTACCGTATTTCCCAGAGTACTGGCTGCTCTTCTACTGCATCTTCACCCTCCCCCCCCTTTTTTTAAGCTAAAGGTATAGGGTGTGGCAGAATTAAGCCAGTTTGTATCTATAGATTCATTTAAAAAAACAAAAACAAAAACAGATTCCCCAAATGTACAAAGTATCATCTGATCTTCTCAGATACATTCCGTGTGTGTACTGAGTAACCCAATGGCCTCAACGTTGGATGGGCGATTGATAGAATTCAAGCCAAAACGAGCATTTATTAAAGGCCTGTTCACAGTGTCTGGGGACAGTAAGAGGAAAAAGGAGAGGCAGTCACATGATGCAGTGGATAGAACGCAGGCCCTGGAATCAGGAGGACATGAGTTCAAATCCAGCCTCAGACACTTGACACTAGCTGTGTGACCCTGGGCAAGTCACTTAACTCTGATTGCCTTGGGGAAAAAGAAAAGAGGAAAAGAGAACAGTCTTTGCCCTCAAAGGGCTTACATTCTACTTGGGGAGGTGGGGACAAATGCACAAAGATAAGTTGATACAAATTATGTACAGAATAAATACGGTCTTTTTTGGCCGGAGGTGTGTAAAGTGCCAACAACTGGGGTAGGGATCAGGAAAGGTCCCATGTAAGAAGCCCTTGAATCGAGTCTTAAAGGAAGCAGGATATTCTAAGAGGTGGAGATCGCTGGATTCGGAGTCTGGGCACCTCAGTTCGTAGATCAGATCTACCACTTACCATCTGAGTATTCTTGAGTAAATTGCTTCCTTCCTCTGGGCCTCAGTTTCCTCATCTATAAAATGAGGGGGTTGAACTAAATGATTTCTAAGGGCCTTCTGGGGCAGCTAGTGGCACCATAGTGCATAGAATGCTGGGCCTGGAGTCAGAAAGACTCACCTTCCTGAGTTCAAATCTGGCCTGATACTTACTAGCTGTGAGACCCTGGACAAGTCACTTAACCCTGTTTGCCTCAGTTTCCTCATCTGTCAAATGAGCTAGAGAAGGAAATGGCAAACTGCTCCAATATCTTTGCCTGGGAAACCCTAAATGGGAGAGAGTCAGACATGGGTGAAAAATGACTGAGGAGTCCCTTCCAGGTCTAAATCTGTATCTTACAGGAGCATTCTAGGCCTATAAGTCAATCTGTGCAAAGGTGTGGAGGCGGGAGGTGTGATGTCATATACCACAAGTAGGCTGGTTTGGCTGGAAAGGTAGAGTAATGAAAACAGTATGTGTAGTGAAATCATTTGACACACATTATTCATTTGAGCCTCACAATAACCCTGTTGAAATAGGTACTGCTATTTCTCTTTTATAGATGAGGAAACCAAAGCCTTGGAGACTTGTCCAAGGTCACACACCTAGAAAACTTGTTCAATGACTTGTCCAAGGTCACACCTAGCAAGTATAGGAGGTAGCACTTAAATCCAGGTTTCTCCAGACTCCAGGGCCACTGCATTTTTGACTCCACTGATCTGCCTATCTGGTGTCTCCCTACATGGCATTTACTCTCAAGGATGAATTCAAGTCACCTTATCCAGATGAAGTACAACCTTAAGGTGCTGAAAGAACTTGCAAGCATGATGATTGGGCCATCATTACTGATATGTGAAAGATAATGAAAAATGTGAGTACCACAAGATTGTTGAGGAGCAAATATCATGAATTTTTTAAAAATGGGAAGAAGACAGAGTCCGCAGACAATAGACCAGTGAACCTGACTGATTCCCAGGAGTATTCCACAACAGATCATTAAAAAGATGGTTGGGGAGGCAGTAATCACAAAGGGCCAGTGTGGCTTCATCAAGAACCGGGCATGCCAGATTAACCTCATTTTCTTTTATGACAGTATTACTGAACTGATGGATGAAGGGAATGCAGTGGATATAGTTTTCCTAGATTTTAGCAAAGCTTTTGATAAAATATCCTATACTATTGTTGTGGAAAAGATGAAAAATAGAGATGACACTTTCCACCTTTATCTTCTAACACTCTCCTACTCTATCCCTTCCCTCTGCTGTGTAAGCTCCCAATCCTTCCCACCTTTGCACTGGGTCACAACACACAATATGCCATGGGGAAATTTTGCCCCCTCCCTTTGCCCTCAGATCTCCTTCCAGCTGTAGACTCTGTGCTTGGGGGCAGTGACTGCTGAGTAAGAGCTCTACTTCTCTTCTTTTCCTTCTGGGTGGGACGGGTGAGTCACACAGGATGAACAGGCTTGGATGGGTTGTGATTTTCATCAGAGGTCTTATTACATTACCTTTCTTTTTTTTAAAAAAATTATTTTTTCAATTAAAAATCTATTTTTCCCTCTTACTTCCTCCAGTGGAGGGGAAAAGCCTTATAACAAATATGCATAATCAAACAAAACATATTTCCCACACTGGCTATGTCCGAAAAAGGTATACTTCAACCTGTACCCTGAGTCTATCTATTACCTCTCTTTCTGGAGTGGCTACTATGCTTTATCATTGATCCTCTGGAACTGTGTGTGTGTTTTAAAAATTTCATTCATTACACTGTCTCTCCCCCACCACTCTCAACCCACGCTTCTTTCGAACTTCTTTACTTCTGTACTAGGACCACCCAGGTATTTATAAGCTCCTTATCATCTTGGATACTCATATTTCTCCTTCTCTGATACTTATGGTCTTAAGAGACTTGCCTAGGGCACTCAAAGGTTAAGCAACTTATGCAGGGTCACACAACCAGCATGTGTCAGAGGTAGAATCTAAACCTGGGTTTTCCCAGTTAAAAGGATAGCTCTCTAAATACCATACCTTGCTGCCTGTCAGTACATGTATATCCTTTATAAAAAAGTAAATATATACATATTAGGGGAGTATGCTCAAATTATTTTATCTATTTGTCTATCTCTCTGTCTCTGTCTATATCTCCATAATTTCCTATCTATCTGTCTATCTATCTATCTATATCTGTATCTCTATCCATATGTACATATGTATGTATGTGCCAGGCTCTGAGCCAAGCACTTTACACATCTTTTCTCATTTGAGTCTCTTAACAATCTGTGAGATAGGTACTGTTATCCCCATTTTTCAGTTGAGGAAACAGAAGCAGACAGAGATCACACAGAGAGTTAAGTATCTGAGGCTGGATTAGAACTCAGGTCTTCCTGACACCAGACGCAGTGCTCTGTGCACCATGGCGCCACCTAGCTGTCAATGACTCAGCTAACAGCATTGTGCTCTCCAGGATGACACCAAGTTGAAAGGAGTAATGAACAAGACGATGGAGTCAGGATCCAAAAAGGACTTGACAGCCTAGAGCACTGGCCTGAATTAAATTTGATAAGATTCAGTGGGGGATAAATAGGAAAATTCTTACTTGTGGGCACAGAAAACCAATTTCACAAATAAAAGATGGGGGAGAGGAGAGAGTTATGCTTAGACAGCAGTTTTTCTGAAAAGGATCTGAGGGTCTAAGTGGCTTGCAAGCTCAACAGAAGTTGGCCCATATGATGTGGTAGCCAACAAAGCTAGCATTCAGAGAGTAGAGCTTCCAGGAATAACGAGAGGCCGTTCCCTCAGTTCTGTGTCCTCATCAGATCACATCTGCGCTATTGTGTTCAGTTAAGGACATATTTAAAAGAACACTGATAAACTGGAGGATGATTCGAGGAACGTACGCAGGCTGGATGGTGAAGAGTCTGGCTCAGATGATGTTGGGTTGAAGAAACCAGGGATGTTCAGCCTGGAGAAGAGGACACCTTGGGGTGGGGGTGGGGTGGGGTAGCATTTGAAGGGCTGTTGCATGAAGGAGAGTCTCGGAGTTGGTCCATTTGAGCCCAGAAAGCAGAACCAGGAGCAGTGGGTGGAAATCGTCAAGAGGCAGGTTTGGCTTTGATGTTGGGAATGATGGCATAACAATCAATGCTGTCCAGCGGTGAAATGGGCTGCCTGGGAGGGGTGGGAGTGGGTTTCCTCACTCCGGGGGTTCTTGGTGTAGAGGAGGAATGATCCTTTGCTGGGTGTTTTATAGAAGAGAATGCTTCCATGTATTGGGGCTGGACTAAATGGCTACCGAAGTCCCGAACGGAAAATTCTATGATTCTGTGAAGGAGGGTCTGCAACCTCAAGGGAGTCTAGAACCCGGGACAGAGCCCGGCCCGCGGAGCTCTTCGGACGCACCTCTGCTGTAGAGCGGCAGCGTCAGACTCGAGCAGCAATGAGGACGCTGAATCACATGCAAGTACCTCTGTTGCTGCTTATTGGCTTAGAAAACCATATATCAGCGTTATCTATGTTCTGTTGTGTTTTCATTTATTTTGTGAAATACTTTCCAGTTACATTTTAAGCTGGTTCCGAACTCTGGCCACAGTGCCTTTAACACCTCTGCGCTGGAGCGCTGGAGTGAATAGCACCAATGCCAGGTCCTTTTCCGTGAGTCAATGCTTTAAACATCGTGCTTACACAGCATTCCTTTTTGGCCACACACCAGCCTGGGTCCGCATGGAGTCTCACAACTGAAACCAACTGTCCAAGAGGAAGGTCTGATGCGGTATGGAAAACACTTGAGAATGGTTTGAACAAATGAGTTGGTGATGAACTAACAATTCAGCTAAACAGTTCAATGAGCATTTATTAAGTGCCTACTGTGTGCCAGGTACCGTGCAGGACATATAAAGGCAGAAAGGAAATAATCCTTGCCTTTGAGGAGTTTTTATTTTACTGGGGAGTAAAAAATATGTACATAGACAAGCTAATGCAAAGTATATTCAGAGTAAATTAAAGTAAGTGGGGAGGGAGGTGGAAGGGTTGGGGGGTAGTGAGAGTGCATCAGGAAAGGCCTCACATAGATTTCCAGAATGGTTGGACCATGTCACCATCCCACCATGAGTGTATCGGTGTGTCTGTCTTCTCGAGCCCCTGCAATACGGACTATTTCTGCCTTTTGTCATCTTCGCCAATTTGCTGGGTGTGAGGTGAAACCCTAGAATTGTTTTGATTTGCATTTCTCTTATAATTAATGACTTGGAGCCAATTTTCATATGATTTGTTAATAGCTTGCAACGCTTCTTCGGAGAACTGTTTGTTCCCTTTCTTTGACCACTTATCCTTCCCAACCCCTCATTATAAATATGGTTTATTGCTGACTTTTGTTTTCACATCGGGGTCATTTCAAGTAATACTGCCTTTATAAAAAAGAAAATCAATTAATAAAAAAAACAAACAAACCCTGATAGAATGTTGACACCTGACAATGTATAGACACCATTCCTCCCTACAGGTCCCCTGCCTCTTTGCCATGAGGAAGTAGGTAAGTTTTATTGTCTATCCTCTGAGACCGTTGTTCAACTCCCTCCTTTTTATGGAGGAGGAAATTGAGGCTTAGAGAGAAAGAGGAAGTGACTTGCACATGCTTCACACAGGATATAAGTGTGAGAGTTGGTATCTGAACTAGTTTCCTGATTCCAGGGTTAAAAACAAGGTGTTGCCCCAATAGGAATCTCTTTGGCTTGTGTATGCAGCCTTTGTACATGGACTCAGAAGAGGATGACTGAAGAAAAGGTCTGAGTCCTTCTGCAGACATAGGTGCATCTTTGAAATCAGTGGGGCCTCTTTTAAGAATGATAGCTTTGAAGGAGACAACATTCACTTGCGGCCATAATAGCTGTTATATTTATTAAAAATAAACTACCCTCCTCCCTGCAAGCAACCCAGTCACACTTCTTTATAGCCATCCACTGTTTTATATATTAATCAATCAGCAAATTTTTCTTCACATTTATTTTATTTTTAATTTATGGAATAAGACAAGCATTTCCATAACATAGTGTAATAAAAAGATGGCTGCACGTAAAGCTGCAAATTTATTATGTACAACTTACTATTCCTTTTAAATATAGTAAAGTTATCATGCAAATTTCTTTCTTTTTTTTCTCCCCTCCCCCCAACCCTAGAGATGGCTACTGTCAGCAAGCATTTTTAAAGGACCTAATATGTGCCAAACCCATGCTAGGTGCTGAGGACACAAAAACCAAAATGAAATAAAACCTGCCCTCAAGAAGCTTCAGTCATGTCTGATTCTTCATGACCCCCCCCCCATTTGGAGTTTTCTTGGCAAAGATGCTGGAGTGGTTTGCCATTTCCTTCTCCAGCTCCATTTGACAGATGAGGAAACTGAGGCAAACAGGGTTAAATGACTTGGCCAGGGTCACACAGCTAGTATCTGAGGCTGGATTTGAACTCAGGTCTTCCAGACTCCAGTCCTGGTGCTCTATCCACTGTGCCACTCAGCTGCCATATGTGTATATACACATAAGTATGTATTCACACAGATACACATATCTACATGCACACATACGTAATATGTGATCTACCAATATGTCTAACATATTGTAAGCTCCTTGAGGACATAGACTGTCTTTTGAGTCTTTTTGTATCCCCAGTGCTTAGCACAGCACATGTGGTAGGCATTCAATAAGTGTTTATACACATATATGCATACACACATGTACATGCATATCTATACCTATATGTATTATAAACTCCTTCATGGCAGAGTCTATTTCATGTATATCTGTATATCTGTATACACATATACATACACATATGTGTGCACATGTGTTCGTGCATGTGTGTGTGTGTGTGTGTCTATTTCACTCCTCTTTATAAGTTGCAGAGGAAATGTCCTGACCTGGCAGTTCCCTGTACTGATGAAAGTCCATGTCCGGTCCCTATTCCCTATACTTTATAATTTACACTCCTCTGCACCGATAGTTTATAAAGTTTATAAAGCTTTTTGGGATCCCTTCCTTCTTGGAAAACTCTTTTTTTTCCCCGAGTCTTCCCTAACAAAGAAGTCGTTTTCTTTCGCCCGTGCTTTTAGAGGCTTGGGGTTTTCAGGGCACATCTAGACCTGGCTCCTGGCAGCTATAGTGTCTTGTGGTTTTGGCAGATCTGGCTTCTCCACCACACCCCAAGACCTGGCTTTGTGCAAAAAATGTTCCCCCAAAGCTCTCTGAAGAATGTGACCCAGGAGGAGCCGCTGGAGAGGCATGATGCATCGTTCAGTGCAGTCCAAGGGTGGGGAGAGAGAGTGAACCCGTTCTTGCCTGTGACCCAAACTGAAGGAGATAAACATACCATATTGATCTGAATATGGGCCTCTTCTGAATATAGGCTGCATTCCTAAAACTATATCTCTTAGGAAAAAAAAATGAATGTTCTGTAAAAAAAAAATTGCATTACATTACCATAATAAGTATATTTATTGTAAAGGGATTGGAAGAAATCTTAGTGACCAGCCCCAAATCTAAAGTAATCTGTGCCACAACCCCCCTTAACAGAGCAAGTGGTCATTCAGCCTCTGTTTGAAACTTTTTTTTTTTTGGCTAGGCAATGGAGTTAAGTGACTTGCCCAGGGTCACATAGCTAGTAAGTATTATGTGTCTGAGATTGGATTTGAACTCAGGTCCTCCTGAATCCAGGGCTGGTGCTTTATCCACTATGCCACCTAGCTGCCCCTGAAACTTCTAAAGAGGGAGACCCAACCACCACCTGAGAAGTTCATTTCATTTTTGGATGTTATTCATCCCAAGACACCACTCCTGACTCTAGACTCATAACCTTGACCCTACAGGTACCTTCACCTTTCCTCTCCTGCCCCCTTTTTTTCTTGAAGAACTGGTATCTAGCCACACATCCTCAATTTTGTACCTGTGAGGTTGGGTTTGTTTTTTTTTTTTAACTCAAATGTAAAGCTACACTTATCCATGTTGGATCTCACCTTATTAAAGTCAACCTAATGCTCTTGCCTGTCAAAATGTTCGCCTACAAATTTGATGAGCCTGCCATTTATGCCTTTATCCAAGATATTGATAGAAATGTTAAACAGCCCAAGCCTAGCCCAGATATTTGGGGCTGAAATACAGTCCTTTCCTCACTTCTTCCTCTTAAAACTTCACTCTTCATATGTTCCATCTTTTATGGGAAGTGTCTTGATTCTTAGTATTCTCTTCTGCCTTAAATGACCTTATCTATCTATCATCTATCTATCTATCTATCTATCTATCTATCTATCTATCTATCTATC